AATATTTAATGGTTGTCCCTATTGTGTAACAGAGGCAGGCTGACATGGGAACTAGGCAGTTTTGAAGAAAGAAAAATGCATTCGACTCCAAGATAACGGTGAGGATAACTGTGATAACCGGATGACCTAGCAAGGATATAGCAGTTCGCAGCGGGAAAAGTGCATTTTGGTCCGGGCAAGTGGCGTTCGCGGACGTGAAGTGCGAAGGTGAGGGCAGGTCAGTGAAGTCAGCCAGAAGCTTTAATAGAGTTTTGCCTAGGAATAGTGAACAACGGAGCCTTGGTGTGCGGGGCCAACCAACACGGTGGTGTGCGTCCCGAGCGGTGAAACTTTGAGTAGCTGTTTCCGTGGGCCCCAACGAGGGCAAGGAGAAGAAGGTGCAGAATAGGCGTCAGGCGTTTGCGGGGGACACGTAGCGCTTGCGGCAGACCAGGAGAAGCAAGAAGGGACGGAGTAGGCGAATTAAAGGACCGAATTCAACATTAACCTCGCAACCTTAAGGATCGCACCTAACCTCGTAACCTTAAGGATCGCACCTAACCTCATTTTTCGGCGGAGATCAGGCCAAAGACCCGGCGAGGGCGGTCCCAATCGGGTGGGCATAAAGTAGTAGAGTCTGAAGGGCGTAGAAGAGGACGTATGTGGTTCTTTTGCTGACGGTTGTTGCTGCACGTAGGCTATTTGCGATCACGTTTATACGCGATAGGCAAGAGTGACCCAAAGGCAGGAGTCAGTGCGTGGGTTCTTTTGGTATTTTAAAAGGCCTTTAACGAGTTCGGGAAGCATTTGGCGACCCTTAAATTTTTGATCACTCCCCTACAGGTAGCATGCTTAAAGCGCTTTCATCATCGCAGCACTTGGATAAAGTGGTGAGTGATAAACTGGCATAAGTCTAAGATCTATTCGGTGCCGTCTGCACTTTGGAACAATCCCCAAGTTCGGGTATGATCGTCGCGAAAACCCTACTGCTGTAGCTCCCATCAGGCAGAGCAATTGAGTCACTCTATTATTTCCAAGCTAGTGGCCCCAAGCCCGATTTCTTTAATATTCGCGTTCTAATGTCCGCTTACAGGATCGGCCGTAGACCAATGTAAAGAAACCCGCATCTCTTATTTTTGTCTTATTTTTCGAACTTTAACAATTAGGATAGGCGATTAAGATTTTGGATTTTCATTCGTTTAAGGCCAACAGTTTAGATTTAAGAGATATCAAATAGAGTTTCTTATTAAAAAAAATTATTTATTTCTCATTTATATCTACGAAACAAAATGAAAAATGTAAACGGCTAATTAAAAGCCACTTCTGCCAAATAATGTTCTTTTTTTCAGAAAACGAGAACTCCATGCAATAATTCACTATCAAAAACCACGCCAAACCAAACTGTCGCTGTTATTAGGATACTTAACAGTTTTAATAGGATACAAACAAATCATGAAATAATACCTAAACAAAGTAAGCGAACCCATTTTTCCGACAGGAAGCTAGTTTATCAGTTACATTTTGTTTGTTAATTTTGATAAACCGCAGTCTGAAAGTGAATTGTTTTTTTTTTTTTTAATGAGAATTTAAAGTTTGCGACGCAAAGTCTTAAAGCTCTATCTCATATAGTTTCAGTGATCACGCGGTTATACGGACGGTCAGGCAGGTTATGGTTATACATGGTTATCATGATTATACCCCCTCGGCTGTTTATGCTGATCAAAAACAAAAATGTTTTATGGGATCTAAGATAATTCCTAACATCCATTTACCAGTATATATCATACCAAAGATTATAAAGTACATAGATGGGACATCTCAAAGAAAAAAAAATTTTGTATGGCGGGTTCCAGCGCTGGAAAGAACGGATTCCACAGCGCGACAAGTTAAGTTTAAGATATTTTTCGCGCGACAACGAATGAGAGATAACCGAGTGGTATAGTGCTTGGCTGATGTGCAAAGTTAAACGCGTTCAAATCAGGCTCGAGACATCCACTTTTTGTTTATTTATATTATTTTATATTTATATTATTTATTTATTATTATATTTTTATTATTATATTTTATTTGTTTATATTATATTTTATTTGTTTTTAAGTTTTTTCGAAAATTTATAATCCAATCAAGAAAAATACAAAATTCTAAAATCACATTAACCCGCTGTAAAAATTTCTATGAGTGCGGGTTCTACGCCATATTGACAGGCCGAGTAGTAGAACCCGCTGTAAAAATGAATACATTTGAGAGCGAGTTTCACGACAAAAGGCTGGCTGATGAGAGAGGGAAAGAGAGAATTCTATTTTTAGAACGTAAAATCTTTGGAACGATGAAAGTTTGAAACGCATCGAATCTGTGCACCGATTTGGGTGCATCAGTGCACCAGTGGCCGATATGGGTAATTTAGCGTCAGATGTGGAATATCATTAAAAATATTGATAATTTTTAAATGTTTGAAACTTTTATGGAATGTTAACCCAATAAGAAATAAAATTTTGTAATTTTTATTTTTATTTTTTTTTCTTTAAAGATGCAGTTTTACAAAATAAACTAGTTTTAATTTTCCTAGTCTGAATCTAAATTTTTTTTTGCGTCAGAATCCGAATTTTCATCTTGAGCAGTGTAGTCCAGAAGAAGATTTTGGACTACAATCTCAAAGGCAACTGCCTTGCTGGAGTTATTGGCCGAACTTTTGGAGAAGCTTGTAATAAGTGGATCTGACGATACTAACAATAAATGCGAAAGATCCTCCATTGTGTTTTGGTGAGAGTTTTTACGCGTATGGCTTAAGCAAAAATTTCTATAGTATAATATCTGTAATATGCCACGCTCATCCAAAAGAACCATATGTTCGGTTAACCAACCCGAGTTCTTCCTAGTTTACCACATATATACGCTTTTTGCGGGCCGAGGCGACCTTCACAAAGTTTTCCTGTAATATGCCACGCTCATCCAAAAGAACCAAATGTTCGGTTAACCAACCCGAGTTCTTCCGATTTTACCACATATATACGCTTTTTGCGGGCCGAGGCGACCTTCACAAAGTTTTCCTCTACAGAAGTTGAAATTTGTTATAAAAAAGAGTACTACAAACTTTGCTGGTTTTAAACATAAATTATGAATGCAACATCTACTCACAGGTAGAAACCTTTATTCAAACCTTTATTTTCGTTTGCTACATACCTTAAACTTTTAGAAAATGCTAAAATTGATTTCAAACAGACACAATAAATAAGTGTCGCAAATATAAAAAGACAAGCCAAATTCAACACCTAAAAATTGTAAAGTACCATACATATGTTAGCTTTGTGAGCTTACAGCTGATCTAGTTGATCCAGTTTATAGGTTTTTTGTATTTGTTAACGATATTCCATTACTTGACAATCGGTAGGAAACAAAATTTTAATGAATTTTAACAGTTAAAAATTTGCTTAATCTGACGCTCGAATAGCCAAATCGGCCACTGTGCAGTGTGAGATTAAAGAGATCAGGAATTTCTTTTACTATCTTTTCTTTTCATCTCTTTTTATACACTTGCAGAGCGTTTTATAATTTTGTCCAAAAGTGTGCAACGCAGTGAAGGAGACATCTTCGACCCTATAAAGTATATTTATTCTTGAACAGGATCACCTCCTGAGTTGATATGAGCATGTCCGTCTGTCTGTCTGTCTGTTTCTACGCGAACTAGTCTCTCAGTTTTAAAGCGACTTGAAAGGTTGCACCCCCTCTTCTTTCCTTTGCACGCAGTATACAAGTCGGAACCGCCGGGATCGGCCGACTATATCCTAGAGCTGCTATATACCTGATTGATCGGAAATGGTATAACCGTGGTGTTCTTTGAGTTAGAGAGTTCTCTAAAGCTACTTTACAAAAGCTATTTTTGGCAAAATAATACGACATGCCAAATTTCATAAGGATCGGCCAACTATATCCTATAGCTGCCATATAACTAAACGATCTAAAATGACCTAACTTTCGTGTTTTTAGTACTGATTCTGAAACTTAGTACAGATTATATTTTTGGTCATTTGATCCAACCTACCAAATTTCATAAGGATCGGCCAACTATATTCGATGTTTACAATGTATATCCGGTTTTAACTGTAAGGGTATATCAACTTCGGCTCCGCCTGTAGTTAGCTTTTCTTTCTGGTTTTGCTATAAATTCATGCTTTTACTTCTATACCAACTTTAAGTATCATTAAATCAACTTGGAGGGTAGCCTAGATGGGAAGCGTGCGCCCCTTACCCTTGGAGTCCAGGGATCGTTTTATTATTTTTATTAGTTTATTAGTTTAGTTTTATAATTATTTTTGTAATAATATGTATTTAATTTTTTTTTTTTTAATTTCATTCTTTTACTTGTAAGAATAATTATGCTTTTATTAATTTTATTATGAGAAATTAGCGGAATGTGGAAAATAGTGACTGACGTGTCGGATGACAAAATGATGGACTTGTATTGGAATTTTATTTACCGGAACAATTTTTTTTTTTAACCTGAAAAAAAAAGAAAATATCGAAGTCCTAAGGAGGATGCCACAAATTTACATGGAGATAAGACACGTATGGATAATCTTTTTATAGGCGTTTGTGGATTTCTAATTCGAAGCTGAAGAGAAATTTTAGTAGTATTTTAGTATGAGTTCTAGTGGGAATTTTATTAATATAAAAAAAGTTCTCAAATACATAAGATATAAAAAAATAATTATTTTTATGTAATTTTTTTTTAAACTTCTGAGTGTCTCCAGTTTTCTTAAGACAATGCCCTGATTCAAACGTCTTCAACTTTTAAATATCCCCAAGTTTTTCCTTTTGACTACAAAAGTTTGTGGAACAATTACCTTTTTTGGCAACTTTAAAAATTAATACAAAAATACAAATTAGTCAAAAAATTGGTTAATGTTAGCTTTTTTTATATCGAATAGGTTTATTCATCGGTATAAGGACACGATATGTCACAAATCAAATAATGATGTATAAGTCCTGCGCGCGCCGATTTCTTTACCTCACTATACTTTAGTAAATTTGCTTTCTTAGTTACATTTTGACATCCAATATCTGCACGTGTAACGGATCAATAAACAAAATTTTACAATTTAAATTTTGTAGTCAAAGACTATATCAATAATAGCCAGGTAGCGTATTGACCCAAAACAACCAAAATATTTACTAATAATAATGTTAAATTGTATTTTTTAAGAACACAGAAGTTTGTAGAAATTGAAAATAATAACATAAAAAATAGAATATAATGTAGCGGTAATAGAAATTGTATACTTGCGCAGAATTTCAATCAAAATGTCACGTGATTAGGAGGGCCCTTAAATTTCAAAGCGCTGTAAAAAGCTTCAACGCTTTAAAAAGTATTTAATAATTAAACAAAAATTTTATTTTTTCTAACTTACGAGGAAAATTTAAAAGTCTAACGGAATTTCTACCAATCAATCGAATGTAAAATTTTATGTGAAACAATATTTATATTTTAGGATTTTCTTTTATTTTGGGATTAATGAAATTTATATACAAACATATATACATGTATGTGCAGTTTACATGTATGAATATTCCAGACATACCCATTTATTTTACATATACATATGTATTTTGAAATAACCGATTTTGAACAGAATGAACTATACACGACTTAACTTTGTGTTAGGTTTTTATTCCCGCTTTCCTTTCAGTTAAAATTTATTTAATTCGCGTGCAAATATGTATGTATTCTACTATTTTGAAGTAAGGTAGAAACTACAACGTAACGCAATATTACCAAAAAAGATTCTATATTATTTGTTTTGCTCAATTTCTGAGCATCTGACGATAGGGGCTCGTCATAGAGCGTTTTTGTGCAAGCACGAGTACTCTCTCAGCTAGCAGGTCAAAACAGAAGAACAAACGAAAAAACATCTGTTCAGTGAAAGAGCGCGTCTGAGGAGTGTTTTTCGGTCCTTTCGATGAGACCGTATTCAATAATATGGTAAAACATTTCGAGTACTGGTTTTTAGAGTTGCTTGCTGTCTAGCGTTTAAAAATAAGATCTGCTTCTATGACCGTTTGGAGCGTTTATGCAGCTGTAGTTGTTATTGTAATTAATTGAGGAAGTTTTCTTGTTAAACTGTCTTAATTTATGACTACACAATTATTTATTATGAAATTTAATTTTAGAATGCCGGCTGATCCATCAGATGAAATGGCTGGACCGCAAGTCCCCAAAACGGAATTAGAAGAGCTTCAAATCAAGGCTCAAGGAGTAGCTGATGAGGTATGTATAACCTAAAAACAGTTAAAAGCCATTTTACGTCTTTATTTTTTTCCTTTCAAAACTTGTTTGTGCTTGTGAGAGCAGCAGACTTTTTATATTTTCTTTTTATAATCATTTAAGTCCTTTATTATTCTTGTATCAAATAAAAAAAACTTTTTACCGAGTTTTAATGTATGAAAAACAATCAGTTGTACAATAACAGTTGTTATGTGTTAAAACAAAAACTAGTGCTTAGATGTTTTAAATAAATAAGGGCCATGCAATGAGCATATTCAGTAAACCTAAGAAATCGCTTCTACTCTTACTTTTCAACTCGCGATGGCGAAATTAATCAGTGATTAGGAGCAATCCGGCTCTACTGACTGCTGAAAGCCAAAGGGTACGCAGCGCCCTCCAAATTTCACAACAACAACAAGCAGTGGAACAATTTTTGTAACCACAGCGACAACCACAGCAATTCAAAATACCGCGACGTCAACGACTACAGCGAGTGCAAAAACAACAACTTCGGAAAGTGCCAAAGCGGCCCCGGCCACACAGTCTGGAATCGATCACTACATTCAAATTAAGCGCATGCTTAGCCCGCAGAGTAATCCGGCAGGCAATAAAACAAAAATTAACCGCGTCCAGAAGATCGACGAAGAACCAGGCAGATCCAGAAGCAATGCGGCGTTGATCGGAAACGGTGACAAGTTTTATGAAGTCCCGCTTATCATAGGGCAAAACATAGAGCATTTCACATCCATGAAACAAAGGCAAAACAAAGACTGAAGAACACTTCTGAATCGTGTCAAAATATCTGGACAGTGCTGAGAAAAACTATGACACGTACCAGTTGAAAAGCAGGAAGAGCCTACAAGTTATTGTAAAGGGAATCGAACCCGATGTTACCGCCACGGAAATAAAAACCGCCCTAAAAGAAAAGGGCTTCGCCGCCAAGAATTTAATTATAATTCGAAATAAAGATAAAAAGCCACAACCCCTTTTCAAGGTCGATCTCGAGCCAGAAAGCAGGTCACTGAAGAAGAATGAAGTCCACCCAATCTACAAACTGCAACTGCATGAAGTGCATAAACGCAACGGTCCAGTGCAACGCACTAATTGCCAAGAGTATGGACACACTAGGTCATACTGAACACTTCGGGTGGTCTGTGTAGTCCGCGGTGAGACCCACAACTCCGCTTACTGCTCTACAAGCGACCAATGTAAAACGGAAACTATGATGCTTACCTTCCAACAATGTATGATGGAGCTTATGTCATTTAAGAAAACGACCATGCAAACGCTTGTTCAAAACATGGTAATATGCTGCTCGCAGAGCAACAGTATAAATAATCTATGCAGACTCTACGAACATTTTGTAAACTACGAAACTAGAATTTTTACAATTCTTGAACGAACACCATATTGACGTTATGTTACACAGATCATCCGAATGGAAAAAAAAGGATTTTTTTTTTCACCCGGAAAAATTCAGTCCAGTAAAGGAAGACTGTCCTCCTCGCTTCTTAATCTCGGAAGGACTATTTATGGACTTATAAAATTTACTTGGGGATCATTTTAAAGCCGCAGGAGACTACAATGCCAAACATACGCGCTGGGGATCAATGCAATGCAATTATAAATGTGAGAAATGAACTGGACTGTGTTTCCCCTGGAAGTCCCACATTCTGGACGTCCCACGCAAGCTTGCAGACTGTATTGATTTTGCGGTGACAAAAAACTTACCTCGAAATCTAAAAAGTGCCAAAGCAGTTTCGGACTTATTATCAGACCAGTTGCTGTGCTTTTAACACTTATTCGAAGCCTAACAATAACCGAACACTCCTTCAGCCTAACGTCGCCAAAAACGGACTGGCTTAAATACAAAAAGTACGTGAGTGTCCAGTGGACACCGGTTTGGCACGCTGGATTGCGACTTAAACTTATTGTACTCAAATAACCGAAAATTTTGAGTGCAATCATGCAGACCTCTATTAGACAATCATGCCATCCGCTTTCACTAAACGGTATGCAGATCCCTCAAGCTAACGAAGTAACGTACCTTTGCGTCCACCTTGATAAATGACTAATCTGGCGTAATGACGTCAAATGCAAGAAGATGCACCTAAAACTAAAAGCTAGCAGCCTCCACTGGATCATAATCTCACGGTCGCCACTACGCCTACGCCTACAAGGTGCCACTCTACAATTCAGTCCTAAAGTCCTGTCTTCGCACCCAAATTACTTCGTTCGGGGATTAGCTCGAGTTTCCGTTTGCGACGCAACAACCTCCCAACCCAGCAATCGATTTAGGGCCGTCTAACTCTGTATAAGTCAATATCACTGTTTGTTAAGTTATGAATATATGATTTGATACACCTTTTGTTATCGTAAAGTGGAAGTTCACGAAATAAATGCAACGTTACAAAAAAAAAAGAAAAAAGCAACATATGAATAAAACAGAAAGGACGGTGTAGTGTCTCCTGGCAGGATCGCCATGTAGTGTTATTTAGAAGATGTTTGTTGACTAAGGAGTAGACGTCAGCCTACTACGATCGATCTATATTGAATGAATTATTAGGTTAATTATTATTAGGTTCACTGCTTCGCAGCGAACAGCGCTTATATCATTTTGTTTTCGCTTATTATGTACAGCAACAGGAACGTTGCTGGCTAGCTGAGGGAGTCATGCGCGCACATATGTATACACAGCGACGGTCAAGCGCGGGAACGCTGACTTAGCTATTGGGTGGTCGCTGGATAAGGACGCACTTACTTGGATAAGTGCGAATCATATTTCGTCTTCACGAGTATGTGTAGAGGGCACTTAGCGCTGCGACGAAGTCGCTGGTTATGTATGATTGCTGTTGGCATAAAAACAAAGTGTTGCAGACTTATTTATATGTATGTATATACATATGTACGCAAGCTACATCTCCTTAATTTTAAAAAATAACGTAATTTATGTAGTTATTTTAAGTATTAATGTTAACTATTTTTTTGTGTGTATGTTTTGATTATATTATTTTTGTTAATATGTACATATGTGTAACTATGTGTATTAAAAAATATATATGTTAGTATTTTATTGTAAACGTTTTTATTTTTTTTTTTTGTTAAACATAAGAACTTTTTATTCATTTTGAATTTCCTTTTCTTAAATCACATTTTTCTTTTTATTGTTTTGTATTATTTTGTTTATATAAGAGTTTTCCATTCAATTATTATAAATTTTAAATCTACCCCTATGAACTTTTTGTTTTTTTCTTTTTAGTATCCTTAATTATTATATTATCGTTATCTTCTAACTTTTCTACTGATGATGACTTTGTCTCCTACCGATAAATCTACGTTTTTTACTTTTTCATCATATAATTCTTTTTCCTCTTTTCTTCTAACATAATTCTAGCTCTTTTATATGCTATTTCTAATCTCTGTTTACTTTCTTTAGCATAATCATCTATATTATATATAGGTTCTATGTTATCTTTGCTATTAAAATGTTTTAGTAAACTATTTGTTTTACCGAAAACAAGTTCAAATATCCGTAATGAACGTCTTCATTAAACCGTACTTTAGAATAAAATTCTCAAAACTCGTCTTTGCTACTGTGCTAGCATTTTTGTTTGGCATTGGTGCCTACTATAACCCTGTCGAAAGCATGTATTGGCATATCAGTTATTGTTAAAGGAGTTTTTATTTTCCTTTTTACTTTTGATTTTTGGCTCTTTTGATATTTTCGAATGTATTCAGTACTATCTTCAGTCATACCATTCCAATAATAATGTCTCTTGACCTTGGCCAAGGTTTTTGAGATACCTATGTGACCTCCTTGTATTGGATCATCATAGAATGTAGACAATAGAGCTTCTTTTTCATTTATTGTTTTTATTTGGGCCACCGGGTTGAGTAGCGCTACTCTCAATAAAATTAATATTTTATTGCCCATTTTTGAAAAACAATAATTGAAACGTGCTCAACGATGTTTTCCCACGTTGCGACTTTGAGTTGGCTGATTTTATTTATACCGGCTTGCGTTTCAAGCCTTTAGAAAAATTGTCCTAAGTTAAGAGTTCCATTGGTGTACTTATAAATCGCTAACATCATATCTTGCAGTAATTTTCTTACCATGTTTAAAGAAACATTTTTTTTTTGCAAGGTCACTACTAAGTACGTAAAGAACGTCATTGTTTATGACTTCATATACGTTGGGCTTTGAAGTTTTTTCTATAGATTGCTAATTCTATTTTTTCTTTTCCTGCGCAGGAATTTTGTCTACTTTGATATCTTGTAGGGTCTTTCTTTCAGATTCATTTATTTGTTTTAGCTGTTGAATGGTTATTCTTGATACCGCATCCGCTACAAAATTGTCTTTACCCTTCAGATATTCGGCTGTAAAATTATATTCCTCTAATTCACGTCTCATACCGGTTATCTTTGAACTTGGATTTACCATTGAGAACAAGTAAGTTAATGGTCTGTGATCTGTTTTGACAGTGAGGTGTCCATAAATGTATGGTCTGAAATAAGTTATGGCCCAATGAATTGCTGCTAATTCTTGTTCTGTTGTACTTTTATTACTTTTACCCTTAGTAAACGATCTTGATGCATAAGCAACTGGAAGTTGGAGTCCATTTTTGTTTTGAGTTAAAACTGCTCCACATCTGTTATTATGCAAAATTCTTTGCTGAAATCTGGCTATTGTAATGAATTCGGATTTATTAGTGCGTGTTCGGAGTGTTAAGATGTTCGGAGGCATTCTGCTTGAGAAGGTTATAATCCGGTTATAGGTTATAATCTAATAAATGCTATAGTCATCATTCTCTGGAAAGAATTTGCCGCTATTTTTAGGCCGAATGGCAATTGCGTGAAGCGATACGAGGCATTGCTGGTTGAGAAAGACGTTATAACTCTTGAACTTTTTTCGAGTTCAATTTGATGAAAAATTGATTTGAAATTTGATTTGATGAAATTCTGACATTAAGTCAAGGCATAAAAAGTATTTTGCTCTTCCTAGT